CGGCGACGGGGGGAGGGGCGCAGTGCGGTAGGGGAAGAGACGGTAGTAAGGCACCGACTTGTCAAAGGTGACGTCCTGGGAGGACAGAACACGGCGCGAGGTGGGGTGGTAAAACTGCCACCCAGGCGCGTCAGGGGGGAGGCCAAGGAAGACGCAGGGAATAGCACGGGGGGACAACTTGTCTGCAGACAAGTCGCGGACAAATGTCCGAGATCCCCAGACCCGAAACGCATACGCATCGCCAACCTTCCCAGTCCACCGCAAGGCGGGGGAGGTCTTTGGCAAGGAGACCCGGGGCTGAAGGCTGAGCTGATGGGCGGCGTAGTGAACCGCAAACGGCCACAAAAAATGGGGGGCAGCCGCATGCATCATGGACGTACAAGCGACGTCCATGACCATGCCAATGCGGCGCTCAGCAATCCCACTTTGTTGTGGAGAGGCCGGAAGCATGAAGGTCTTCCGGGTGCCCTGTGCATAACAGAAGGCTCCTAGACGGGCAGAGGAAAACTCCCCGCCTCTGTCCGAGTGCAGATGCAGAACAGGAAAGTCCGAGCCGAAACTCTCTCTGAGCTGGAGACGAGCTGCGCGGATCCAGTCGATCAACACCTCAGTGACGTCACCCTTGCTGCACAAGGGGAAGACTGTGGTGTAACGCGAGAAGTCATCAACCACCAACAGGAAATAACGCTTGTGCCCCTGGCCACGGACGCGGGCGGGGCCCCACACGTCCATGTGAAGAGTCTGCAGCAGAGCCTCTGTCGGAGGAAACTCAGAGGAGTGAGGGGCGGCGCGCTGTTGCCCCTCGACGCAGGGGACGTAGGTAGGGCCAGGCCCCAGAGGTAGGGAAGGGAGAGACTGAGGGAGACCAGAGACAAGGACACGGGAGGCCATGCCTCAGAGACGAGGCAGGGAGGGGTGACCAAGGCGGTGGTGCCAAAGGAGAGTCTGGTGGGACAGTAGACGACACGAGCAGGGAGCAGACTCAGGACCAGACCTGGACGCTGCAGCAAACACCTGACTCAACGCAACTACCTTGCCAGACTCAGCAGCTGGAGGAGACTCAGTAGTAAGGGTGTACAGGCTCGACCCTGGCCGACGGGTGAACGTGGCCAAGTGTCGGCCTGTCCGAGCACACGTGCAGTGGGTCACTCGCTGACCCGCATGAGTGAGCTGGTCAACCCCCCTATCCTGTAGGTCCGCTCCACTCACCAAGTTCGTAGAGAACGAGGGGAGGTAGAGACCTGACAGGGTGCCAGAGGGGGCTGCCAGGCACGGTAAGACAGTGGAGAAGCTAGCAAGGAGAGGACCCCCAGAGGGGTCCGCCAGGGAGACTGCAACCGGCCGACTGAGCGGCGTAAGAGTGGTGCGGTCTCGAAAGAAGGAGCGGGACGCACCCGAGTCAAGGGTGAAGGTGTGTAAGGCCTGAGCCGACGTAGTACCTAAGAGAGCAGACTCACCAGCACCTGGGGCAGCAGACGCACTTGCACCTAGCGCAGCAGCCTCACCAGCACCTAGAGCAGCAGCCTCAATGCTCGGGTCAGGCGGAACACACAGGTAATAGTCACCCTCATCACTAGTAGGCAATGCATACATGGCAGTGAGGATAGCATCATAGTCAAGAGTATAGATATCGACTCGCAGCCGAAGCAGCTCCACCCAGTCGGGGAGCTCAGCCGCGTCGCCAAACTTCGTACGCCAGGCATCGCTCAGACGGGCAAAGCAGTGGGACGGTGCGTGACCTAACGTCCCGCAAGGCTGACCAGTCCGAGCACCAGTGCGAATGATGTACGGACAGCGAGCCTTACGTCGTGACCCGTCACGCTGCGCGTACCACTCACGAAGCTGCTGGGGCGAGAGGACCACTCGCGGACGACGCTGAGGCTGCACCCGGCCACTTCAAGTAGCTGCCAAACTACTCACTCCAGGACGACTCCCACTACTGCCACCCCGACAACCCCAACTGGTGTACCACTCACGAAGCTGTTGGGGGGTGAGGGACTCACGCGGGCGACGCTGGAGCTGCATCCTGCCACTACAAGCAGTTGTGGAACTACTCACTCCAGGACGACTCCCACTACGGCCACGCTGACAACCCCAACTAGCGTACCACTCACGTAGCTGTTGGGGGGTGAGGGACTCACGCGGGCGACTCTGGAGCTGCATCTGGCCACGCCAGGAGCAGCAGTTTCAGTGGAAAGAGCAGCAGTAGTAAGAGCTGCGGTAACAGTAGTACGGGCAGGGCAGTGCTCACCAGTGGTGAGAAGGGCAGGCGTACGACGGCGGCAACGGAGATGCCGCTACCACTGTAGAGCGAGAGCTCCGCGGCAGCTGCAGTGGCGGCTGCTCCCGGGGCGGCTGCTGCAGTGGCGGCTGCTCCAGGGGCGGCTGCTGCAGTGGCGGCTGCTCCAGGGGCGGCTGCTGCAGTGGCGGCTGCTCCAGGGGCGGCTGCTGCAGTGGCGGCTGCTCCAGGGGCGGCTGCCGCAGTGGCGGCTGCTCCAGGGGCAACTGCTGCAGTGACGTCTGCTCCAGGGGCGGCTGCTGCAGTGGCGGCTGCTCCAGGGGCGGCTGCTGCAGTGATGGCTGCTCCAGGGGCGGCTGCTGCAGTGGCGGCTGCTCCAGGGGCGGCTGCTGCAGTGGTGGTTGCTCCAGGGGCGGCTGCTGCAGTGGCAGCTGCTCCATGGGCGGCTGCTGCAGTGGCGGCTGCTTTTGCTGGGCGGCTCGGCGGCTGGCTGCCCGCTAGGGGCAGTGACGGGGCCGGGTAGGGGCGGCGACGGGGCCGCTAGGGGCGGTGACGGGGCCGCCTAGGGAGGGGAGCGGCGACGTGGCCACTATTGGCGGCAACGTGGCCGCGTTGGGGCGGCGACGGGGCCGCGTAGGGAGGGGAGCGGCGACGGGGCCGCTAGGAGCGGCAACGGGGCCGCGTAGGGGCGGCAACAGGGCCGCGTAGGAGTGTCAATGGCGACGGAGCCGCTAGGTGCGGCGACGGGGTCGCTAGGGGCCGCGACAGGACCGCGTAGGGGCGGCGATAGGGCCGTGTAGGGGCGGCGATGGGGCCGCGTAGGGAAGGGAGCGGCTACGCGGCCGCCAGGGGCGGCGATGGGGCCGCGTAGGGGCGGCGTCGGGGCCGCGTAGGGGCGGCAACGGGGCCGCGTAGGGAGATTAGCGGCGACGGGGCCGCTAGGGGCGGCGACGGGGCCACTAGGGGCGGCGACGTGGCCGCGTAGGGGCGGCTACGGGGCCGTGTAGGGAGGGGAGCGGCTACGGGGCCGCTAGGGGCGGCGACGGGGCCGCGTAGGGGCGGCTACGGGGCCGTTAGGGGCGGCTACGGGGCTGCGTAGGGGCGGCAATGGGGCCGCGTAGGAGCGGCTACGGGGCCGCGTAGGGAGGGGAGCGGTGACGAGGCAGCTAGGGGTGGCGACGGGGCCGCGTAGGGGCGGCTACGGGGCCGATAGGGGCGGCTACGGGGCCGCGTAGGGGCGGTAACGGGGCCGCATAGGTAGGGAGGCGGCAACGGGGCCGCTAGGGGCGGCGACAGGGCCGCTAGGAGCGGCGACGGGGCCGCGTAGGGGTGGTGACGGGATCGCTAGGGGCCGCGAGGGGCCTGGAAGGGCGGCTACGGGGCCGCTAGGAGCGGCGCGAGGGGCCGTGAGAGGGGCCTCTAAGAGAGGTTGACAGAAGGGCAGCTCACAAGGCGCGCCTCGAGCAGGAGCGATTGTCGCTCCGGTCAGAAAAAAAAGTTTCAGTGGTGGGCCCAAGGAAGCGTTCCCACTAGGGAACCTGCTCTATACCATGTGAAGAAATGAGGAATGAATGAACTAGCAAGCAGGTGGGTACAAGTAGGAAAACCTAGAAGTGTTGTACCCCATATTGTCTACCCCACTAAAGCCTACACAGACTATAGCATATGAGTTTGACAGTCGGCCACCCAGAATCCCACCAGGTTTGGCCTTAGCGCGGCCCTGCATGGCTTAGTGAAACCCACCAGGTTTCTACCGAAAGCTCCTCGCCCCCCCAAAAACTGAAGGGACCCATCTCGTTCTTACGCGCCGATGCATGCGCGACTCGGTAGAAAACGCAGGCGATTGGTCGGGAACATTAACGAGCGGGACTTCCCGCGCATGCAACTGAGCGTTCGCAAAAAATGGAGCGCAGCTATTGGTTCTGTTGTCTCGCATCTTATCGCGAACAAAATTCGCACAAGGAGTGGGTGGGTAAGCGCACCGCTTGATTCGGTTTGGAAACAGCTGGCGCGATCTGGTAGGCTCCATGCTGGCTGACACATGCAGCAATTCGAACGAGCCACACAGCAGTCGCTGTTTGGTCGAGGCGTGATCGCGGTAGCGTGTCAATCACGTCCACGCAGAGTCCGGTCATTACTCTGTGCATGCCCACACTTTCGCCTTTCGCACGCTAGTTGCACACCAAGCTCTTCCCTCTCATGACCCATTGGATTCACCGGACTTAGACGGAAAACGGGACACCAGGGTCGCGGTTAAGGTGTGTGTCGCTCTCGAATGTCCGCGAGCACCGCGGTCGCAGTCACACCCGGGTGTACAAGTAGTGACCGCGCATCATTTTGACGCGCGCGGTGAATAGGAGTAGGGACATTATCGCACGCCGCATGCATACCGTGAATCACGTCGCGGCGCCAATACTTCACGAGTCCATCAATGCTATAGGCGACACATCCGCGCAGCAAATCCATAATACCGATCCGCCTCTCGCCCCCGTGCAAGGCGTGCACGCGCTCAACCCCACATGGAGCATCCCATACGTGCAGCTTGTGGTTATTGGGTCGCGGATGCCCGTGTTCCACCTACAGCAACTGGTGAACGGGCTCCACCTAGCACCGCGGCCACATATTCCGTTTGTGGCTGGGACGGTCGCGTTTCAAAATCAGCAGGATGATCTGACCGCGCATGGAGTATCCACGCCTCATCCCGGACCACAGGTTGATGGACAACACACCGCGTCCCCGTTCGTGCCCACAAGCCAGCTCTATGGGATTTGTAGGGCCGCAGTACGCGAATGTGGGATTCAGGTACGGGTACATCGGCGATCAACCACCGCCCACAGTGCACGCACCTGCGTCTGACGCGACTCCTCCAGTCGCCCCGTCAACCCCATTCCCCAGCGCGATCTATCAGGAAAGCCAGCCAACGGGGCAAGCCCCGCCAGACCCTAGAGAACCAATAGTGGTCGGTGTGGACATACAGCCGCGAACAGACGACCCATTATCGAACGCGAATACCGGCGAAATAGTACGTGAGGTGAATGGTGGAGCGGGAATGAATGCAAGCGCGCGTGCACATTCACCCCCAATATGGAACCTGAACTCACTGTTGCCAGGAAACCCGGACGTCCACATCCGCACCCCCGCGCAACCGACCGCAGTGGACGCGACCGGTGTAGGTGGGAAACCACAGGCGAACGCGGGGAACGCGGGACGTGGAGCGTGTGCAGGAGGAAACGCGGGAAGAGGAAGAGGGACTGGTGCAAGGGGAAACGCGGGAGGAGGAAGAGGGACTGGTGTGAGAGGGAACGCGGGAAGAGGGACAGGTGCGAGAGGAAGGGGTGGGAGAGCGAGCGCGGGACGTGGGACCGGTGTGGGAGGGAACGGAGGTAGTGCGAACGGGCGGAGAGCGCCTGGGGTGACAGGCAACGGCGGCAGAGGTAACGGTGTTAACGCGACCGGAGGTACCGGGAACGTGCCAGTCAGTAGACCGTGTATAAGGAGGCGGCGAGTCGAAGTCGTGCCGCACACGGCACGCAACGTATCGACGGGGGGGAGCAAAGGGCAAAGCAATGAGGATGACGAGGAAGACGCTGACGATGTGGACGACAGTTGAAACCCGAAAACTACCTTTCGAACTCGCTGTCCGCGCTCAACGAGGAGGAGGCGGAAGACAACGAACCGGTGCGGGGCACGCGAACGGACTTGGAGGTCCCCATCGCGGATTGGAACGGGCTTGGTGTGGAGGACACGCCGGCCGCAAAAAGAGAGATGTGCATGGGCATCCTCTACGGTGTCTCTGAGGCCACGCTGAAGAAGTATCGCGGTTGGGCCAGAGAGTACAAGCTCTTCATGGCGCACGAGCTGCAGAAATTGGACGCGAGTAGGTTCGGTGAGGAGGCCTCGTTGAGAAACGCGAACCTAGACGAGATCGGGGCCGCGCTCGAGCAGAACATGGGTGGTGACTGGAAGATGGCGGAGGGCGACGTGCAGTGGTTCCACGGCCCCGAGACGAATCCGTGGTGCTTACGCAAATACGTGACCTTCCTCGCGAACGAGATGGTCGCACAGGCGGACAGGATGGCCACCCTCAAGCGGCCCAACAAGACCTTGAAGAAGAGACGCCAGTGCTCCACTGCAATGCTGATGGGGCGTCTCAAGGCTTTGAACCTCCTCATCAAGCTGGACGGGGCCATCTTCAGGAAGCCCGTTCTAAACCTGCTACGCGACTTTGCGGAGTGTCGCATCTGGGTCCGCGTTCAAGTACGCGACCAGTACAAGCGGTTTATCGCGAAAGTATACGAACCTAGTGAACGCGTATGTCCAATGAAACCGCGTTCACTAACAGACTCACTATCGTCCAACTGGTTGTGCAGGGAACACATGGATCGTCATCGAGGCACGGCCCCGGACACATACAACCCAGACGAGTTCAAGAAGATGATGCGGAAGACCAGCATGGCCGCCATCTTGAGCAACTTCACACTAGCCAAGCAACGATACACGCAGGCAATGCATCGCGACCTCTGCATCCGGACGATGACCGTCCTGGGTCATCACACACTAGCCAGCGGGTGCACGATCAGAAACCTCCAGCTTCCAGACATGATGATGTGGAAGCTCGACGCAAAATCCGAGACGGACCCAGTGCGGAACGCGTTCGCTTTTGTCTGCGCGTGCAAGACGGGCAAGACAAACAAGGACTTCTTGCTCAACTACATCTCGGCAGTGAGACACATAGATTGGACTCTGTGCGCGGTCGGAGCCACGCTGCTCTGGCTGCACTGAGTGTACGACTTGGTCCCCATCCTCTACGGGGACATAGCCCCCCCCTCTCGACTTCACGGAACCCTCAACGTGGTACGACCAGTACCTCTTCTTCCCCCTTCGCACGGGCATAGAGAAGCAAATACCGTCCACGACTCATCACGACTGGGCGGCGAAGATTCTGGGGGACGCGGGAATCACATACTCGCCTGTGGTTCACGCGACGAGAGCTGGTGGGGCTCAGCACTCGTCCGCGGACGGAATGCCCTCTGATCAGCTGGCAAGACTGGGGGGTTGGCGCTTCATTGACGTGATGACTAAGCACTACCTCACAACTATTCCGAGGGAGGCCGTGCTCCTGAAGGCTGGCTTCACAGGTGTTGATGGTGACTACTTCATAGGTCGCGCAACTGTTCCGGTGAGTGAGAAGCTGGAGAAGCAATTGAGGAAGCACATTTTCCCCTGGGCCGCACTGGTCAAAGGACAGAAACAGGTATGTGTGGGCCGCGTACAGTAGTATCAAATGACCGCGATCATTCCACATAACCCTCGGGCACCGCGCTAACTACCGCGTTGTTGTGTTGCACAGTGCCATGATTACAACGGGAAGATGGTCAGCGAGGACAAGGCGGAGAAGCAGGACACCGCGGGTCTAAACATACTGAAGGAGCTGGATAGGGAGGCTAGGATGGCGGTCACGCAAGACCTGACCATGTATTACATCCACCAACCGTGACACCCGTACGTGGTCAACAACCCGCTCTGCCAGACGGAGGAATTTGTGCGGTGGGCAGCAGATGTCTCCTTGGCAAATCAGCTGGCCATAGTACAGCGTAACACATCTGCACTAACCCATCCCGCAGTGCGTACTATATGGTTGCGTTACTAATTCGGCTGTAATGTCTATGAGTATCCATCACAATATTGCGTTCGCGTTCTGTATATGCAGGAGGTCAGTACCATAATGGACGCACAGAACCAGGTGACCGTCCTCACTGAGTACCTGACTCGTTTGCACGGACAACACCAGGCTGGGTGTAGAGTTGGTAGCGACTCATAAACGGGTGAAAGAGCTGGAGGGTCTGTTGGAAGAACGCGATCGAGAGCTGGCCGCGAAAGACAAACGCGTGAATGATCTGGAGGCCCAGCTGTCCCGTCTCACCGTGAGCAGCTCAAGGCCGATCGCGATCCGAGTCCGGCAAACACTCCTGGAGCCACGGCCGCGCCTACCAATGCCGCAACCCCCACCGACCAGAGAACGCGTAAGAAACCCGCACAGCCGACCAGGGACGAGACAATTCGGGACGCAATCATGAAACCATGGGTCAACGCGACCAAGCCATCGGACGGATGGAAGTTGTACAAGTCCACGCACCCGCTGATCGGCGAGAGTCCAGAGTCGCTCCTGTCCCGACCCCGCGGTGCAGTTACACGAATGGCCGAGCTAATTGGGAAGGAGGGAGGCGGCCAGAACGCTGCCTAGAATGCGATAAACCGTCTAAAGCGAGTCATGGACTTCATCTCCCGCAGGGTGGAGCAGGGAAACAACATTGCGGTCGTGCTCGATAAGCTCGACCTCGTGTCTCGAACTGTGGGCATGCTGGGTGTGTCGGAAGGTATCGCGGTGAAGAAGAGTGTTGACTTGAACCTGAGCGAGCTGAAAAAAGGTTCTCCGGCGGAGGTGCAGTTGCGGGTGAAATGGATGCTGGTACGCGACCGCATGATCGATGCCTCTCTACCCGCGTCAGAGTTTCCGGACGCGTGGCCTCAGTACTGTGCCCAGATGCCCCGACTAGCTTAATTGGGTGGTCCTACTATGTGCGCGTTGGGAAATAGCTTTAGATTGTGTTTCAAACAGGTACACCCAGTACCATACTGCTAGATTCGGGTGTTAATTGTACCGCGGTTGAATTGTGTGGTCTGTACAGTTTGTTCACAAAAAAATGCGTGTTTAAGGTGACCGCATACACGTTCACATACTGCCCGCGGCTATTTCTCTCGTGCATACTTCCCATCAGCAACGTGCCTATTTAGGGGTGATGTTAGGTCAATGCCCATGGTGGATTTACGCAAATCCCTGGCCGCGTGAGAAGCAAAAGAGTTGAATTACGAAAAAGGGGAGGGAGTACACAACACAGACAGAATGGCCACTGCGAGAAAATCTCAAGTAGGGTGGGCAAGCTACCTACACTACCAGGAGTCTCATGCGACCACACATACAAGAGTCTTTGTCACCTAGAGTTCACATCCTCTATACTATCACCTTCACGCGGACCTCTTCTTCGCGGACACCCGCTTCTCCGGCAAAGAGAGGTAGAGCCTGTTGGCCTCCATTGCCTTGGCCGTGATCTTGCAGTCGCACCAGGTCATCAGCACGTCTACTGCCTCGTGCGCGACCATAGCGACTAAAGTGAGGTCTCCACGTCGTGCACCAAGACGGTTCACGGCCGCGGTCTCAATCTTCTCCGCGACCTGCTTTGGTGTGACCTCAGAGGCTTGCTTGCGAGCATTCTCCTTCCTGGCCCACTTGAAAACCGCGGCCACGATCGTGGCGTAACCGTGGGCCGTTTCTTCTGGCGTGCCAGCAAGCTGCGTCGCGGAGTATCCAGCATCAGCGATAGCCTCGAGTTCGAGACCGTTGCTGGTCTCCCACACCATCGCGATGGCGCACGCGACCGCACCAACGAATAGGCCCGTTTGGGCGCCGGTGACATCGGGCTCCTCATCTGCAGCCTCCTTCCCCACCGCGGCTGCCCAAGCTATCGCGTTGCTGATCGGGGACCCGCGGCGGGTGAGGTCGCGGTAGGCCTTGAACATGTGGTGGTACCTGCATGCATGGGGTAACACGCAACATGGTTAGGCACGGGTGTGACCGCGTAAAACAAATGAGTGATCAGATGACCGTACCTGTCAACATTGCCGCAAAGGTTGTGGAGGTGCATGGTGGCGAATAGCCCGGTGCACAATGTCCCGGCCGCGGAGATGTCCTCGGCCCACTCACTCTTCAGCTGCGCAGTCAGCTTGAGCCTGGGGTCTATCTTCTTGTCGTAACACATCACCGCGATCGCGGTCAGATACTGCACCTCTTGGAGAGAGTGATGTCCGAGCCAGCAACGTCTCCCCCCCAGCCACGGTTCGCCCACCATCCCCTCCCCACCCCTGGGCGGAGGGCGGATACCACAGCCCTTGCGCTTGCCGCTTGTTCTGCTAGTGTCGCTTGGCCCCAAGAACCTCTGCATCACAAGCTCAACCTCATCGTCCGCGTCCGAGTCGTCGTCGTCGTCGTCGCGTTCACACTTCAACGCGGCTACAGGAGGCTTACAACCACTGCGGCCCTGATTCTTCGCCTTCACATCTGCAGAGGGGGGGATGGCAGGGGCGATAGAGCTGGGTCCCAGGCTGTCGTGGCGCGACCGCGGCGGTGTTGCCTGACGCGGGCACAATCGCGGTGGTGATGGCGGTGGTGGTGGAGGTGGTGTTTGGCGGGGCGTCCTCGCCCTTGGCCTTGCCTTTACCAACTTCCACCCCCAAGGTCGGAGGCGGTGGTCCAGCAGCGGCAGCAGCCCCCCTGTTGGTCCCCGCAGCACGTTCGGCGACCGCGCCACCCTCTTCAGAAGGTCGGTGACGCTATGGATCGCGACCCCTTTCTGCCGCTTCCCACCCCTGCTGCTCTCACACTTACCTGCCTCCTTGTCCGCGACCCTCTTCCCTGTCTCCTTGTCCGCGACCCTCTTCACTGTCTCCTTGTCCGTGGCCTTCTTCCCGACCTCCTTCTTCGCGGCCATCTTCCCTGCCTCCTTCTCCGCGAACTCCTTCTCACGCGGTCCATCGGGGACTTGTTGTAGTGCTGCACGCCCGGAAAGCATCGCGATGATGATGTTGAGGGAGTTCGTGACGCCACTAGTTGTGATCGCTTTCTCGGCGGTACTCGCAATGTTGGATGACGGGCCGTCTATCTTCCGTGCGACCTTGTCTGTGAGCTTCTTCTGGGCGCTCTCTATGGAGTCCACAACCACCCCCTTCATGCTCCCCGCGCAGTCTTCCAACCGGGCCGCAGCACGTTTCAGCACCTCCCGCATGTCGCGATTCTCCGCCCTGTCCTTCGCGGCCAGCTTGGCTTCCCTGCGTATCACCCGGTCCGTGTTCTGCACGTGGGTTAGCACCTTCTCCACCGGGGCCTCGAGTTCTTGTACTTCAGCGTGATCACCACCGCGAATTCAGCACCGGGCACCGCGGACGCGATCTCATCCAGCTTGCGCGTCTGATTTTTCAACTGCTCGTTCAAACGGAGGATCTCCGCGGCCAGCTTCTCAGGAGCCATCTTCACCAGCTCCGAGTGTTTCCGCTTGGCCCAAGACCGGACTCTTGCCCGCAAACTCGCCCGACGGGGTCGCGCTACCATGGCGGGGGGACAGCACAGCCTGAAGACTGCGAATACTCTTTCCCTGCACCCGCGACCGCGACCGCCGACCGCCCGGAATTGTTGGCCGCGATTTCTGCCACCTCCTCCTCCTCTTCCTCATCATCTGCGTCGTCCTGTTCCTCCTCCATTTCTTCCAACCCTCCAGCTCCAGATCACCGCGCTGGTGATCCTCCGCGGCATCCTCTTCGTCTTGACCGCGACCCTGACCCTCTGCCTTGTCTGCCTCGTCTTGACCGCGACCCTGACCCTCTGCCTCGTCTGCCTCCTCTTCATTGTTGTCATCTCCACCCTGCGGCGCGTTAACAGGGGCGTCCTCGTCGTAGTCAGAGCTCAAGCCCTCTTCCTTGTTGTCCGGTTTCCCCTGGTCCCCCTCCCCTGTGTTCGCGAGTGCAAGAGCTGTGTTGAGAGCGATGTTATCGCGTTCGGACACGCGGGATCCCGCGGGGTGTTCGTGCGACCTCTCACGGTCATTGCCGTGAGCATCCCCCCCATGACCGTCCGCGATGCCAGCACCGGGATCTGAACGCGAGCTCTTCAGCGGCGCGTTTCGCATCCTGCCGCAATGTGTTCAGCGTCCTGGCAATTGGCTTGGCAATGCAAGGAGCAGGGTCGTGTCCAACAACCGCGTCGAGGTCGTTGAGAACTCTATCGAATGCGAACCCACATGCGAGTGGACCGCAAGGGGGCTTCCAGGAAGAAATATCCTGAAAGGAAACAAGGTGGACGGAATGTAGTGTTAAACGCGGCCAAATGAAATGCGACATATAACCGCGAACATTAACAAACTCACCAGGTCCACATGGCGCGTCGGCTCGCCCAGCTGCCCTGCCCGGGACGCACTGGACAGTATCGCTCCCGTAGTAGAGGCAAACACGACCGCGAAACCACCTGCACGGTTCAAATACGTATCTCAGACACGGAGGTATAATAGCAACCAAGCGTAAAAGCAGCACCTCTGCAACATACGTATTTAACAAATATGGTCCACCGTGGCAAGATGCTCAGCCGCGGCAGTGGGGTGACAAACGCGGACAAAGCGGGTTTTCCAGGGTGAGGTCGCACAGGAAACGGGGGAAAAATAGACACAGAATCAGTCGTGGTCGGGGTGTGGCGCTAAACGTGGAAACAACCCGGACAGGAATCAATGGTTTCCGCGAGAGGAATCAAGGGTCAATAGATGGATCGGGACGGAACTGTATGCAGACGAAAATGTCACGCGAATACGATTTACGCGACCGGCGATGCAAGCATCTGTGGATGACCTAAACAAGCCTTAAGCCGGCGAGATGCGACCACAAAAAAAAGGCGCCCTTAACAAGCCTGGCATCACAAGGTAGACCTACCATGCGACAAAGTTGAAGGAGGTCGCGGTGAAAGGATGCTTATCATCGGAGGAAGCACTTCCTCTGCTCGGGGGGGAGCTCCACAGTGGCGCCCGCGATCGAGATCGTAACAGTGTAAGTAGCGCCCTGCTCGCCACTGTTCCAACAGTGCCTTCAATTCGCGACCGGCCATGGCGGGGGCAGAACGCGTGTAATTACCTACAACGCGGGTCGATGCGAGTAAACCCTACGAGCGCCCACTGCCTAAACGCGAACGCGATCGCAAACTCTACAGCACAGAAGATCGCTCGCACCGAGACGTAGGCGGAGAGACTTAGCAGGGTTGACAAGAAGGAGAGCAAGTAAGAAAGGTAAAATGAGCCCGTGAAACAGGTTTCACGTGCCTAATAGGGACGGGACGCATCCAGGAAGGGGGGCAGTGCGAGCAACAGGCAGGGGGGTGCCATTGCGCGTGGAGGGGATGAACCCGCCGGGCCCCTTCGGACATCCTGAAGTGGGGGGCGTTCCGTTCATGCATGCGGGTGGAACCATCACCCAC